TCTCTTTTTAATTTATCGATAAATATTTATAAATAAATTTTTGCAAAAAAATTTAATGAAAAATAGCATCAATCTTTTCTTCTCAAAAATTTTAATTTATTTTTATTGTAAACAGCACAAAGCTATTTTATAATAAAGATAAAAATTCTCTAAAATTATTGATCGTGAAGTGTAAACAACAAAGTTTTGTTTCTCTCGATTAATTTCATATTTGTTTTTGTTTGATAAAAAAATAAAACACGTTTGTTACGGAGAAAGTCGTCAGATTCATCAAAGAATTTGTTTCATATTTTTTTAGCTAATATAGTGTTTTTTTATATATGTAAACACACTTTTATACATGTAAACAACTGTTATCGATAATTTATTCGTTAATAAAATATCACAAGAATTGCATTTTAAACTTCTATATATAATAACAATACGATAACACTATTATCGACAAAATTGATTTCATCTCGGCGAAGACATAATATTTCACGATAAGTTTCGCGTTAATATAATGCACGCCTTTGTTTATCAGGCTCTGTTACAACCGTAGTCCTATTAACTAAAATGGAACAAAGGATTACTTCAGGACCTAATTAACTCCTTGCGTGTGCCGTAATAGTGGTTACCCTTTCTCCTCAGTCTCTCTCTAACTCCTGATCGCAACGAGCACGAAAGGAGGTCCATGCGAAACGAAATTTCGCGAGGCGGAATTTTCGGAATGTACGTTGTCGACAAGTTTCGCAAATCACGCGGCTTCTTCAACGAAGATTTCGCATTCTTGCAGCTGACGTAAGCAGGCGTAGAATAATGAAGGTAGCGCCAAAATATTCTACGCGTGTGGGTTTGGGTTCAGCTTGGTATAGCAAAGTGAAAGATACTTTGTTGCTCTAGTATTAACTTCCTGACATTCTTGCAAAACATCTATGTAATCGGAAGCTCAATATTTCTTATATTAAATAACGAGACACTATTTAAATTATATAATAATACAGAATTTATATCCTCAAATTTTCTTACATATATTTCTTATTAATTAAATTATTAGATCGCATTAAAATAAAAAGAAAATTTTTGTTTTTATATTAGATAACTTTCTCTTTTTTATAATAATAATAATAATAATAATTTTCATCACTTTACTTTTCACAGAATCGATAATTTATATCTATTTAAAAAAAGATACAATAAGATAAATTACCGTACTTTGAAGAATACGTTGCGATGTATGCGAATGAATGATTAGTGTTATACGTAAACGATAATAATATAATTGAAAGGAAGTTCAAAAAGAAGATTAATTATAATCTTTATCATTATATCGTGTTCCATTTCATTTCTGCACAAGCATTTACTACAGTTGAAAAATTCGATGCAATTCCATGCGCGAAACTCTAGTCAGGCGTCCACATCGGGCAGCAGTGGAGTTAACTAATCGCGAGCTCAAATTAACTCATTATTCTCGAGTTTAATTTCCGCGGTGTGCCTCATTTTGGCAGAATGAGAGGGCACGAAAATAAATTCCGGATATCACACGGCAAAGCGAGGCTTCGCGATTCGACGAGCGTATGATATCGCGACGAGGAAAGCGGGATGAATTGCAGTTTGCATGGAGAAATACGAAATGCTTTTCTGTGATGAACCCACTCGTGAAATAACTCTCAATTTGTAAGAAAGTAATTGACACCTCTCTTCGAAGGAAGAATTTTTTGTATGAAGTTAATTGGAACACACTGAGAAAAATGATCTGATTGGATTAAATAGCAATTCTGGTGGAAAATGGATGAATTAGAGATTTTTCTGGTTAAATCTACTATAATTCTAGTTGAGATAACTAGAATTCTGATTGAGACAAACACAATATTTCTGGTAAAATATACTAGAATTCTTATATTTTTATCAAAATAATTATACATATATCAATCATAGATAGATAAACAATTAACTGATAAAGTAGACAATATAATTACTAATTATTTAAATGTGTGTGTGCGTATCTCAATTTCTTATATTTCAGTACTGCAATATATAAAATTCAGTTCGTTTCATTATATAGTTGAGTAATCATAACGTACACTTCCGTCATGTTTAGATTCTTTATGTACAGTGGATTTGTATACGCAAAACAATGCTGCAAAAAATGGTTGGAAAGCGCATTGCATGTAATGTAAAATAAATATTACTTTATAGCAGGCCGCCTTGCTAACTCTACCGAATAAATAAACGTAATAATCCACATGAAATTTTCTGCGTATGCAAAACCCACTAACGCGCGAATACGTTTATGACAACGAAATAACAATCGGGATAACGGTGCTTACGCGAATAAAATTGAAAATTTTACATGAGCTTGCAGAATTCTTGTTATAAATTGACATCATTTCCTAGCAATGCTTAGCAAACATTAATTTATCATATTTCGGGGACAGAACCAACCGCAATTTTCATATATTAATCGCTTTACTGAGACAGCTTGGTTTATTAAAATTTCACATTATACTGAGTAAAATATTCTAGTGCTTTATATTCATTTGTTGTTGTGAACATTTGTCTCATTCTGAGCAATAATTTTTAAAACAAACATAAAAATTATATGGCCAATTGAATAAGATTACGATAAAACAATCATTTGCGTGTCCTTAAGTTATTGCGTGTCGATATACATATAGCAAATATATACAATTCATAAAACAACTCTATAATTCAATAAATAAATAAATTCGAGTCTTTTATTATACGTGTGTGTGTGTGTTGTGTGTATTATGTAATAATTTATAATATTGAAATTATGTCAAGATATCTTTATACAAGTAAACTGATGTGTTTTATTATTATCAATCTAGTATCCATATTACATAATAATAATAATAGATTAAAATAAAATTATTTCAATCCAATATCGCAAGCAAAATATCAAAATTAATTAATTGAATATATATATAATTACCACAATAAATTATAAAATTATTATCACAATTCTCTTAATAATAATTTATGAATAACGTGTTTATGTAATTTAATTTTCGTATTTATAATTGGCGAAAGAAAATTATAGAATTAAGAGGTGCTTGTCTGTTACGTGTGTAGTTACGTGTAATGGATTTATTAATTCTAACACTCGATCTTTATACAAACAGAGTATGCAAACAGGAGAGCGTGGCAGATAAACGCAGCTACTAAACCAGAGATATTTCCCTCTACTCTAACGCGTATAGATGAACAAATTGCATTTTGCCCCGTTTAAACTTTTCTACCGCGACGGTATCGCATTTTCCTGAGAACAACGTGCAAATAAAACGCCAGCTGCTGAATCGGCAGTTTTTATGCCGTATCGCAAGATGAAAATGTTCCTGCTTTTCCGAGTCGCACGGTATTTTGGGGTTTCAAAGGCTTTCCAGAGATTCTTGAAAATATTATTCCTCGGAACTTCACCTCAATAGATAAAAACCGTGAGAATATATGAAAAAATATTTAAAAATATTTCAGAAATACTCAGTAATATTGAAATGAATGCAACAGAAATGTGTGTATTACGGTCAATGATGTTTTCCATTTAGTATACCTAATGGAAAAAATAAATGCATATAAAAAAGATGTGACACAATCATATGTGAAATTTAACTCTCTCGCGCGCGTTAAGATATATAATATATATATACATCTTAAAATAATTTATAATTACAATATATTTTTATAGCTTTTATCTTTTTATATAAGTATAATCGTGAAAATTAAAAAAACTGTTTTATATTCTTCTAATAATATAGACGTGGAAGAATAATACCAGAATAAAAACATATTCATGTTATTATTAACATTGTTTATGTAGTAACACTAATAATATTTATTATTTATATATATTATTTTTTTTATAAACTATCTTTTTCTTTTTTGTCCTTCTTCTATTTAAATTCTATTAAAACAAGTATGAATTCACACTCTGTATGCATGATGAATAATTGCAAATAAGAAGACAAGTAAAGTTTCTCAGAGTCCGTGCTTCATTGACCAGCGAAAGACCAGAGTCCGAAGTTGTTATGGCCGATAAGAGACGCACAATGCAATGGTAAATTTCGGATACGTTCATCGCGGAAACTTGCCACAACGACTCCAACTTATCTTCATGCTTTCCACGCTCGTAAACGTAAATGCGAATGTAAAGAATCGGCGAGGTCGAGCCGCGAGATATGCAGCGGCAGATGCGTGTTAGTGCTGCAATTCTTTCGAGCATACTCGGGCAAAGTTGAAACCAAAAGAATGATAAAGTTCTAAAAGCCGATCACGCAGTATCGATATGTGCGAATTTAATTTTCAATTATAGGTGTAGTATCATTGAGACTCTTGCCATTTATTTCGTAATTTTCACGTTGCTGACCAATATTATCATTTTTTTCTAGAAAATCAAATAAAATTTGTTTCCACAATTAATACTGAACAATGTGGAAAGTACAACAAAGTACATACACAAAATGAAGAGTAATTAATTTCATTTTCCTTTTTTATTTAAAAATCCTTAGAACTCCATATCCACTAGAATATTATATATAAGCACACAGATATTTTTATATTCAAATATTTCGGTTTTGTTATTTTTTTTTTTTTATTCTATCGTTGTTTCCGAATCTCGGAAGGCGAACGGAATTATAAAAATCGGATTACACGGTGTGCATTCTCGATTGCAATCAACGGAAACTCCGGCTTCGTGAAAGCGGTTTATTAGTTCACAAGCTCGGCAAAAAAGATTTGGAATGTATTTATCGAGTATCTTACGTGATTAGAGTACCGTTTATGTATAGATAAGTATATAAAAAGATGTTGTCACGTGATTGACAGAATCGGATATGTAGATATACATTCATCAGATATAAATTCATACAGAAACGTTCAAACATCAAGATTTGCTTTGATCAAATGTACGATTTTTCTTATTTAATTAGATAAGTGTGTGAAATGTTTGCAAACGCGGCTATCAAGTCATAGCCGAAAAATATTTGCACTGCAGCTTGACTCACCTGGCGACGGGAAGCGTGAAATTCAAAGCTCGAATGCAACAGAGGCAAGGAGCGTCAAGAGTCACGTTGATTAATTAGTGGCAATTATACAGCGGCTCTAAGATAATTAGCGATGCTTAACTCCGTTGACTTGTCCGATCTCATTGCAAACGTTCCGTCGTGTATAAACCGCACATGCACACAGACACATAAACACACGTCAAGGATGAAATTTCTTGTCCACGGTTAATTTAACGATTGATGGCAATGATTAATTTAAGGGACCACCTATCTCAGATTTATATATCACAGTTTATTGTTTATTATTTATTTACGGAGAAAACTTCGAACGCGTTAATTAATATTACTGTATATTGTTGCTGCTCCTTAGAGTTGTTTAGTTATATTGTCGCCGTCGCTGTTGATATTTTATATCAAATGAAGCAAAAGTCGAAGTGTTGCAACCTAGTTCCTTCCATCGATATTTTTACTTTTGCGACGAAAAATAAATCACGTTTGAGTCCTCACCGTTTGATTTCTCGCACTCACGAGATTGTCTTCGCGGAAGCACATTCGACGACGTGAAGTTATGTGATCACTGAACTTTCTGTGCTCTCAGTATAGGTCAGTATCTCTCCGTCTTTTCGAACCTTATTGCAATCGTTGTCCCCTGGCGACTGTTAAAATGTCTAAAAATTCGACAGTCCCGAAAATGAAATCGATAAAAGAATTATTGAAATAATTGGAGAAAAATCCAATTGCATATGTATGTCAATTATGATAATGACAAAATTAATAACTGAAAATATTTGAATAATTAATGAAGAAAAGTAAACGCAATAAAATAAATGTCACTTGACAATTTGAAAAATCAAACAATTAACGTGAATATAAATTGGATATTATATTGGTCAACAAGGTAATGAATCGAACAATGAAAATAAATTTATAACGGATATAAATGTAATTAAAGTATCTAAGGAGACAAATTCGATCTCATCTGCGTTCGTTTAAGTGTCTTGAAATTTGACGCTATTAACTTAAACAATGATAAAACAACAAACGTAGAGAAAAGCTGAACGAACTAAAACGAATTAAAAATAAACGACTAAAACAAAGCAACCCCGCTTACGCATTGACAATATTAAAGATAATTAACATGGGAACGACCTGAATATTTAGACTCTTCAAGATCTTTCGTACTAGAAGAGATTTTTGTCTTTTTCAAGAGATACTCAAAATTCCAAGGGGATTGTGGAGAAGCACGGACACGATCGTCACATAATTCTTCCGCAGTACGCGTATCGATTCTCAATCACCGAGCCGCGATATGAGGCGTCTACGTTTCGAAGACGATATCGCCAGGAGTGAAACCAGCGTTGAAACCTTTCGCGCCCTCGTCTCTATCAAGCGTCGTCGCGTTTATGTCCATCCTTTGGAGGATCATCGAGAGGTGTGTTTCGATCGATTTTCTCGATCATCGCCGAGCCGTGTGCACCATTGGGACCATGCGATCACATCGTTCACCGGTGTTCGCGCGATCAATGGGTCTATCAATCGTTCACTGTTCACGTAAGTACGACGATTCGGTGCAGGATCTTGATCGACAAAAGAAAGACAGAAGACGGACGTAAAAAAGACTCGAAGATGTGTGATCGATAGCGAGTCGAGAGAAGAATTCGGTCTTTATGACAGAACGATGACGACAGGTGAGCCGTGTATCATGCCGATGAGAAACGAGCGGATGGTTCTTGCGCAAACCGTACGACGGTACTGCGGCCGGCGGCGCGCTACCGCGTTGGGAACCTGTCCCAGAGTGTTCCGTACCGCGGCGCGCGGCTCTCTGCGTGCTAAACTGGCGCAAGCTCTTCTGAAGCCGAGGACGGGACGTGTCCGTATAGCGGCGGAACCAGCGAGCGGCGGAAACTCGTACAGAGTGGAAGCTCGATTATTCGGAAAGGGGCACGCGGCTCGCGCGCTGATATACACGAGGGATAGAGCGATGACCGAAAATTCGAGCGCCGATTTCGCGATATTGCAGCAGCTGGTTTAGCGTGCCGGATATTAGCCAGCGACTCCCACGAGTAATGCGATGCGCTCCTAAATTATTAATAACGAACGCGATACCTTCAAACTTCAAACGATCTCTGTAGTTTGCGCCTCTATTAATTAATTTGAGTAATTTTTTAATATAGAGCGTACAGCACACCGTGTGCCTAAGTATAGATTGTTATTATGTCGAGTGTACAATTTTTTTTTATTAATCTACTAATTTCTAATAATGCCTATTCTCACATTTTTTATAAAATTCCTCAACCTAAATAAAAATGCTGCAAAATACCGATTATTTTGATTAATTTCTTAATGTAGGATGTTGTACTTAATTGCGAAATGTCATTACACCACACAAATGCGTATTTTTTTCCATTAATCTGCCAATTTCTGATAATGTCTTTTCTCACAAATTTGTATAAAATTCCCTGACCCAAATATACATTGCTGCTTATTACCGATTATTTCAGTTATTTTTTTTAATGTAGGCCACTGTGCTTAAATGCGGATTATTATTACTCCGAGTGTATAATTTTTTTATTAATCTGTCAATTTACGATAATGCACCTTTTCACAATTTTTTTAATAAAATTCTGTGACCTAAATATATATTACTGCTCGTTACTTTTGGAATAAGAAAATTTATGGAAATTCATGGAACAGTGATAGGTGAACCCGGAAACAGAATAAAAAATCCAGTTTTTCTTTATTTGAAAGAAAGATGAAAGATAAGTTTTGAATTATTGAACGAATATATGAATTGACAAATATATACTTTATTTTTTTAATACTTTATGTAAGTGTGTCCGTCAATAATAAAAAACGATATAAGATCATAACTTTCTAATATTTTTACACGACTGCAATTTATTTAAAGGCCAACGTCGGAAGTAGTAAATTAACATTTCGTGATATATGTATAAAGTTAAAGTTAAGCTATTAAAAATGTATTATTCTTGTGAACAAATGAAAAAATAAAAATGTATCACTAATCATTTATGGAAACATAGAAAACGAATAAGATAACTGTCCGCCCACTGATAAAATAGTACAGTGTTTTTACATTTTATCTCTGTCAGAGACTTGAACGAAATCGAATCGGAAAAACATCTACTGTTTTATGATGGATGAAAATATAAAGGTGACTTCGTTCATTTTGTACTATTTTATCTACTTCGAAACGGTCAACAGGATATGATGATTGTATATAAATTTCTTATAAAGAAGTAACTACAAATAACATAAAGCAAAAGTTCTGGAATAGTTAAAATGAATCTTAATTAATTAAAAATTGCAGATTAATTTAAAAGATTAAATCGTAAAATAAATACAGATAAATGTTAGATTTGCTGTATAATTTGTATGAATATTTACAATTTTAAGACACTATGGCCGGTACTTAGAATGGTACAGTACAGTCTTAACTGTTCGGTGCCTATAGCGTTTTGTTACGAATTTATTAGATTACAGGTATTGTGAAAAATATCGCATAAATATGAACACATTCCAATTTTTTTTAATTTGCGTTTCGGTTAATTTTAACCGAAACAGTAGATATTAAGGAATATAATAGTGATAAATAAATGTGTATGTGTTTTTATTAACAAAACAAATTATGATCTAATAATACGTTATCAACACAATAAGAAAAAAACGTCTAAGACATCGATCGTAGTTTAAATCGCAATTTATAACTTTTATAATTTAGCGCAAGTACAGTTTTATAGCTCATGAATATCAGAGAATATCGATGTCCGGTGTTCTTGCGATCTGCAACTAACGCCCTAGTCAGATTTGATTTACACGACATACGAGCCACGCACAGCTGAAAGGAAAATGTTTATGATGCGCGAATGCATTAAGCGAATGCCGATCCCGTGATATGTGTCCGCATAAACCAGTATTTATCCTGCATCTAGCGAATCGATCGATACCAGTGTCTCTCGGTCATGTAGAGCTGGAGACACGTCGATGGAGAGAATGTTCTTTCACTCTTAGCCTTAGCAGATCAGACAGATAAGTTTGTTTATCTGAGTGTGAGGGAAAGAAAAGGAAAGACGAGAAGTTTTCTTAAGCACACACGGTACAATCTATACCTATCTACTTGCAGAGTGACCTGTGGGACCTTAGGAACAGTAGCATTCTGCGACAGTGCAGTATTCCTCAGTAAATTCGAGCTCACGTTGCCGAAAGTCCGAAACAAGGTTTCTTCTTGTTCTATTCGTAATTTCTTCAAATAATGCACGAAATACTTCGAAAGCTACGTGTACATTCTTGGCGTAAATCTATCCCGAAGATAAATAAAAATATGAGAAAAAATAAAGAATAAATGAATAAATAAATAGGAGATCTGGAAGACTCAACGTTGTGAAAAACTAAATTTGTTCGCTGCGACAAAGGAAGAGCCGTAGAGCCAGAGTTTCCTCTTCATCTTGGTTAATAAAGGCAACATTTCCGGGATGTCAGAAAAAGGGCTAATCAAGTATTCTCTCTCTCTCTCTCTCTCCCCCCCCTCCCTCCCTCTCTTTTTCTCTCATACACATATACCTTCTCTTTCTCTCTTTTTTTGCAAAACGCGCTCGTGCATATGCATCACCCGGTGTGCACCTTGCGCATCTTTATATTCCCGTGTACAATGTGCGCGGTATATGCGCATGATACATTTTTTTAGGGCAACGTATGAGAGAGAGAGAGAGAGAAAGAGAGAGACAAAGAGAGAAAGAGAGGCTGATAAAGAAATCTCAGTTCTGTGAAAGCTCGCACACCGGGATACCGGAAGCGAGGTAGCAACCTAATTATAACAAAAACTTCCAGCCGCTCATTACCGGCTAAATACGTTTTCCCGTGCGCATAGAGCGACGCGCGTCAGGACGTATACATAGTGTCTGAAAAGTCGCGCACAGAATTTACAGGTGTAATATCGTCGGTTCGCGGAAACAAGTCTGCCATACAGCCACCAGAAGAAAAGACTCGGATATTTAAATACATCTGAAATTAAAAATATGAATAAATGTGTGGAACACTACTTATGCTAGCTAGGTAGAGAGAGAGTTAAACATTTATGCCTGATTAATTTAATAAAATGATTTTATACTTCAAAGATTTTCTCGTTTAATTTAAACATTTGAGTTTGACAGTTCAAAATTTAAATTTTTTTGGGATGATATAACATTAATAGTCGTGCTGTTCTATCAGCTGACTATCAAGAAAAAATGAAAAAATATAGAGAAACTTGTGGTTCCAATAAAAAAAAAACACTAATAATTTTAACGCGATATTGAACAAAAATTATCTTTGATAGAAAAAAAATTTCAGTCGTTATACTCATTCGTTGGATATATAAATAATATTTCAAATATTTTTTGCTTTCGAATTCAAAGAGATATGAAAAATGTATTTAAGTATTCTGTTTTTGATAAATCAGTTTATTTTAATCACGATACACTTATCAGGTATTTTTTATTAGTAAATTAAGAATAAATTTTTATTTGACAACGATGATTTACGTTTCCTTATATTAATATCTTGATAATTAATATATCAATAGCAAGATATTTTACTTAAAATTTATAAATAAATTGCTTTGTATTAAAAATAGTAGACTGCAGTAATGAACGGTTGTAACTACAGTT